TCCCCCCTGCCCTGGGCAGCCCATTCCAACGCCCAACAGCCCCTTCTGCACAGAAATCCTTCCTCAGAGCCAGCCTGACCCTGCCCTGGGCAGCTTGAGGCCATTCCCTCGAGGCCTGGCGCTTAGACCTGGGCACCGCAGTACACAGATCGAGAGAATTCTGTAGAATGCCGAGTGAAGGAGAACTGATTGCACCCCATGAGATTGCCTCCTTATTCATGCCATCTCTCTCCTTCAAAGCTTTCTACAACCAGTTCAAGCATCTCCCCAATTAAAGCTGTTTTCCCCCAGTCGTTGAGAATGAAAACGAAACTGCTCAGCAGAACCGGCTGGCACAGCCGCTATCTGCCTGAACAAGGGATGCCTCTAACGTGTGCATGTCATTTGGGTTTTGTGCCCATCTGGTCTGAGCTAGGATTCCAAACAGCTCTCTGGATGTTCAGGTTTCCTTTAAGCAAACCAGTGTCATCGTTGGGATAAAAAGCCACATTTGCTGGGTCTCAAAAGGTGATTCACATTTAAACAAATAAAGTTTACTCAGCCGACTTCACCTCAGGCCTGGGTACCACTGATCCGTTTTGTAAGAAAAATTACAGCTAAGGACACCTCAACCAGCTGAACGCTGGCACGCGAGACAGAACGGACACAGGGCCTTCCCCTGCATTTCTCAGGGTAGGCAGCAGCACCTCTTCTTTTTGTCTATTTTCTTCAAATTCAGGAGTTCAGGGCCACCAGGCTGTGCTCTGCCTGAGGAAGCCAAGCTCAGGGTGCTCAGACCTTTCTGAGGAGGCCGTGGAGGGTTTGCCCCTCCTTTAGTCACCTTCCAAGAAAGCCACCCTAATGAAGGAATAGCAAAAGCAAGAGATTATCACTAGCCCGCTCAGCACTTGGAAATCTGCAGTTTGCAAGGAATTTCTCCATCCAGCTCAAGTCAGTTGGCAATTCAGAGCACCTAAGCCCCGGGGGTTGGCTTCTTCTCAAGATCTTGTCACAGAGATTAACATCTGCAGGCTGCATAAATGCAGACATCGGTCATCTATTCTCCTTTCATTATGGGTTGCAATCTCTGCCTCTGACATGATAAATGAGGAATGTAGGTTCTTATCTGTGTAATTAGCTGATGCAAGAGCCAGCAGGCTGCCCTCTGCGCTAACCTTTCCCTACTCACTGCACTTTAGCAGGAGCCTGACGTTTCAAGGTCCCTGTGCACATGCTTTTGAGGTGGGGACAGAGACGGCGCTGCAGAGCGCCGTAAGGACTTCGCAGCCCACCTGCTTTGCCCCTGCTAGCCTGCATCAACGGCTTCTCCCCCCATTTCAGCGGGGCGGAGAGGTTAACTGACAGGCAGCGGATCTGAGAGGCATCACGTCTGACCTAGTGGATCCACCAGCTGGTCAACCAGACCCATTTTCTTCGCTCTGTCAGCACGGATGTTCCTCCCGGTCAGCATTACATCAAAGGCAGCAGGAAGTCCCACCTGGAAGGGCAGAAAGGGGCTTTCAGAACAGGAGCACGCCACGCAGCAGAAGGGGCTGTCACGTGAAGTTTTCCCTCTTACTTACCATCTTGGGTAGCCTCTGAGTACCCCCCGCCCCTGGCAGGAGACCCAGTAGCACTTCAGGTGTTGCCAAGACTGTTTTCTTCTCCTTTGTTGCTATTCTGTAGTGGCAGGCAATGGCAAGCTTAAAAAAAGGAAGAAAAAACTAAAGGTTTCCCCGTGAAAGACCACACGTGCTTGTAAGAAGAGGCGACTGCTTGAGAAATCAGTATGCAACTGAAGAGACTCCATTCCTAAAGGACTGTCACTAAAACTTTGCTCCATGGAGTACCAGTGTCTTTCAGTTTACAAAATCCTAGATGGAGATTATGGAAGCAGATACTGCACCCAGCCGAAGCGAGGGAGCAGAGTACGCAGGCCAGGGCGGATCCTGCCAGGTGCCCCACACTCATCCCTCTCACAGCCACCTTTTAAAGAACAGAAGTTGCTGGGATACGAGACTCACTTCATCTGAAAAGCAGCAATTTCCAGCCCAGACTCTGCCAGCAGCATTTAAGCCTGCCAGAAACGGGCAGTTTTCCCTGGGATGCTCTCATCTAAATATTAGCCTGGCCCACACAGGTTCGTATTGGATTAGCTCTCTTTCAAAGGAAGCAGAAAAATTAGCCTAAAGCACAACCAGGCCATTAACTTGTCACAAACTCATCTGAATGGATGCAATGAACTCAGTCAGGTCTCAAATCCCTCTTCTCCCAGTAAGCAGCCCCGCAGGCATCGCCTGGATGGTTTAGGGAACCAGCGTTATCAGCCCCAGAATCATTCAGTACCTCCAGTCCTCCTCCCAGGCAGGACCCACTGATGGCAGCGACTATGGGCTTTGGAGACTGCTCAATTTTTTCAAGCATCTTCTGTCCTTCCTGAGAGAGCTGAGACACTTCCTGTGAAGTCTTGCAGGCTTCAATCATGCTGCAGCGAGGCAGAAAGGCTGATCAGAATTGGAAAAGCACTGAGAGAACAGCAGTGAAATGAGAGCGCTTCAACGAGTTTGTTCCTTTTTTTCCCCCACAAAGCTTCAGTGAGTGACAGACAGGCAAGAGCTATTTAGTCCCCCAGTCTTAGATTAACAGACAACACGGGAAGACTACTAAATTGAGTGGGTTAAGTCACTGCACGCTGACACTGGGCTGCGCCCGCAGGCAGTGAAAGAGTTTCCTTGTGTCAGAGCTTTGAAAGCCTTTAGGGGAGAGCAGGAAGGAGTTGTAGGAAGCCTCAAAGCACTTGCCAGGAAGGGTGGAGGGGAGAGCCCAGGAGCAGTTTTCAGAGGAGCAGATGGCCCGTGCTCTGACGTTGCACTCGGCCAATTAAAGACTCCCCGCGCCAATTAATCTCAGGGAGGCTGGCAGCGTGTGCCAGGCAGGGCCAATTCAGGAGGCCTGTAGTGTTGAGACCAGCAGACACCTCTCAAATGCAGCAGGTCCCTTTGCCAGCTCTAGCTCCGGCCTCCTTCCCACCACAACACACATCAAGTCTCTGCTCCTGAATAAAGCCCATCAAAAAGGTAACGAGGTTAGGAAGGGTCTATTTGTAATTTCACTTCTGTCCTCAGAGCTTTCTGGCTTTTAATGTCTTTAAACAACTACTCTGTCCTGCCCGATGTCAGGACTAGGAGGCAGTGGTGCTCTAGGTTCCAGTGAGAGCACCCACACAGGTCGTTCCACGCCCTCCAAAAGTCACCCACCGCCTGGGAGGCCACCCAGATGCTCCACGTGGCAAGGTGCCAAGTCCTGCCTAATCAAGGGGCCACGCAGCAGACTGCCAGGCACTCAAACCTAGCTTAAACGAAGTCCTGCATGTAAATGAGCTGCTCTTGCTGCGGCCCAGACCAAAGGACAATGCTTATCCCGCAGCCAGGATGGGTTTTCTTGGCTGCACCCCAGCACGCAGGAAGGAGTGACCAGGCGTTCCAGCCAAACGGGGTTTAACCACTCGCCACGTTCCTCTTTGTCAAGCTCCTGACTTCACTGGAGCGAGTCACGCATCCTGTGTGCAGGGTTTTCATTCCCAGCCTCTGCCTCGCCCCTGGGGAGATGTCAGGGACAAACTGCTCAGACTTCACAGCCCGCTGGCCCCGGATGCTGGAGAAAGCTCCAGCTGTGTCACTTCTTAAGCCCCCGTACTTACTCGAGATCTGCTCCAGCAATGAAAGAGCCTGGCTTTGAAGAGATGAGGACGGCGCTTTTGACAGCTTCATTGGCCCAGATCTCATTCATGATGTCAGTAAACTCTGAGCTCAGTTGCTTGGACAGGGTGTTCACCTGAAAGCACCAAATAACCATAAACCAGGAGCCCAGGAGACAGGAGAGTTTAACCTCTGATTAGGCCTGGACTCAAATCATCAATCATCAGAAAACCTGCACAGAAGACTAACTGACAACAAAAAGCCAAAGCCAACGGTAGGTCTGAATGGATTTTTCCAAGCCAATAGGAGCAGCAGCTCTCCAGCCTTTCAAGATTTGCCTTCTGGAAAAAAAAAAAAAGAACAGGACTAGACCATCCAGGAATCTGCCCAACAGCCTGACCACTGCTTGGCGCAATTTTAACACTTTTAGGGAGCTCAAATGAAGCCCAGATTTGCTATAAAATTTAGTTCATCCTGTGTCATTAACACAGTGAAAAAAAAAACCCCTCCAAGATGAAACCCTGCAGTAGATCATTAAGTAATCTGTTATTAATAACTTCCTCAACATCACCAAGAACTCAGTAAAATTTAGCAGTATTTTGTGCCAGTGAGAGAGACAAGATCGTTCAGCACACACAAAATATTTCCGCAAGGGATTCACAGAATCACTCAGGCTGGACAAGCCCCTCGGGATCATCAAGTCCAACCCTCAGCCCGACTCTACCAAGTTCTCCCCTACCCCACATCCCCCACAGCTCATCCCAACGGCCCTGAAACCCCCCCAGGGATGGGGACTCCCCCCTCCCTGGGCAGCCTCTTCCACTCTCGCACCACTCTTGCTGGGAAACATTTTCTCCTCCTGCCCAGCCTGACCCTCCCCTGGGGCAGTTTCCAGCCGTTCCCTCTTGTCCTGTCCCTGATCCCCATGGAGCAGAGCCCAGCCCCAGCCTCTCTGCAATGTCCTGTCAGGAGCTGCAGAGAGGGATGAGGGCTCCCCTCAGCCTCCTCCTCCTCACACTCAACACCCTCAGCTCCTTCCCTGGCTCCTCACAGGATTGATTCTCCAGCCCTTCCCCAGCCTCGCTGCCCTCCTCTGCCCTCGCTCCAGCCCCTCCAGATCTCTCTGGGATTGAGGTGCCCAGACCTGGACACAACCCTCCAGGTGTGGCCTCACCAGTGCCGAGCACAGGGGACTGTCACCTCCCTACTCCTGCTGCTCACACTAGTTCCAATCCAAGCCAGGAGGCCGTTGGCTTTCTTGCCCACCCGGGCACACTGCTGGCTCCTGTTCAGCTGCTTGTCAGTGAGAACCCCCAGATCCTTCTCTTCCATTTTCAGATGTCTCATTAAATGCCCAAATGCTCATTTTCCTATTTTTGCTTTGCTCGCAACTTTGACAAGCTGCAGGTTAGGGAAGTTCTTAGTCCTAAATTAGCCTTTTCGACGCCTTCTCTGTACAGCTGCTTTTCTTGCCACTGCCACTGATACTCCACTTAACCACAGCCAGCTAAAACAGTACCTTGGAATTTGGCGTGTTGAAGCGTACAACGGCAACATCTCCTTTGATATCACAGCTAACATGGGTTCTAGCTGGAAACAAACAGAAATGTGTCATCAGCTTGTGCTCAGGGGATTTTAAGAAAGCAAATGAACCCGCATAGAAAAGTTTTACACTTACTCTGAAGAGTGGTGGAGGTGGAGATGTTACGGCAGGCATAACCTAAAGAAAAGATGTTGTAGATGTTAAAGGAATTGTCAGTAGTCTCATCTTAACTGTCCTTTATTAATGCATCCTCCCATCTCATCTGCTGAGCACAGCGTTTTGGAAAATCCTGACTATGAGCCAATTCCTTCTCTTAGGCTCAACCTGAGCCACCACCAGAGTTCAGCAGATGCCACACTTGAAGTGACCTTCAAGCACAGATTCCACACCGCAGCTTCCAACAGCAGCAATGCCAAACTGAGAGCAGAAAAAAAAAAAAAAAAGTCAAAGCTTTCTTCCCAAATTGCTGACAAGAGACAAAGCAGGTGGCACACGGGGGTGTTTTGCTTTCATCACGCAGAGTTCAACACTTCTGCACGCGCTAAACCAGAGACCTCGTCGCACTTGAGAGAGTTTCAAGCCTGCGAGTTAACTTCTCCACAAATCAAACGCCACCACCCCAGAATATTTCTGCAAAAACACACTCTTGTTCCAGCAAAAGGTGCCACCCCAAGTACTGCTGCACTGATCTCAGGGTATACAACTGGTGAGCCACAAAAAAAAAAGCACACAAAACATTTATTCTCACCTCCACCTGTCAACAAAATATTCGAACCACCTCTACTTACTACGTGTGGAAGCACCGAGACAAACTTGTTTCAAAGCACTCATAAAACTCAATATACCACAGCGTGAACAGGTTCTGTCTACAAATGAAATGCCACTTTTCTGACTCGTAAACCCCAGATCTCCTTTTTCTGCTGAGAAGCTGTACTTGTATGGTCTCTCAGCACAAGAAGGAATCTCGGTTCTATTCAAGTGACCTTGATCTTGACTGAGAGGCTCCTCTAATGCAGGGCTAGGCTGAATCCTGGCCAAAGCTGCTTTATGTCTGAAATCTAGTAAAAGTGTTACTTGTGCAGCACCGTGTGTACATCTACCAACTGGAACACAGCTGCTTAGCTGGGGGAGGTTTACTGCTCAGTGCCAGCAAAAAGTTCAGGAATGAAACATTCCCATTCCCCGCAGCAAGAAGGCAGAAAACCCAGTACGAGCTTAAAACCTTGGCCTACACCTCATGGAGAGGTGCCTCCCCTCCCCACAGCCCAGTGGCCTGGGCTGAGGGCTGGAGCTCCGCCGCACTTTGGCCCCCTTTCCACTTTGTCTCTGGTGCTGGCAGCAGGGACTGACCTTTGCTCTCCATTCCCCAACACGGTGTGGTGGAAATTCAGTGTCAGTCTGTCCGGGCACACAGGTTTGTGTGTCCCTGTGTCTGTCATGTGCCCACAGCATCATTTTATAAACAAAGAGTGAACTGGTTTCCACTGCAAAGCTACTTTAAGGTATTTTTTGACTAGGACAATACCCAGATTGTGAATGCCGTAGCCAGCATTAATTTCCCTACGCTTGTTGTGCGCTAAAGTCAGCCATTGCTGAAAATAAACACCAACACTCATTTCCCACAAAACTGAGCGTGGTCCGACAACAGTTTCTCTGCTGACAGATCCTCCTGAGCAGACTATGATGCACTTCTAAAAGTGGTATTTTAAGTCAGTAAAAGCCACACTACTTTAAAAGGGTGGCAAGGCCTGAACTATCTTACTGAATTCACTCACTTCCACCCTGTATCGCCGCACACGGCACAGCAGGAAGGAGAATCAGCCCAAAGAAAGCTCAGCTGCAAGGCAAGCGATGATGTTTTCCTTCCACACCCTCAGTCAGGCGCCCGCCAAGGCTGGGATGTGGGAAAGTCAGCAGCACATCTCTCTAACCGGGAGCAAGGCACTGGCAGTGTAGTCAAAACTATATTGTGTGCAAAACACACACTGTCAAAAATAAAAAGGGAATGGATTAATTAACTGTTTCTGTGGCCTTCCTCCTTCGTATCAGTTTCCAAACAGACTGCTTCCATGAAAACCTTAAACCTCAAATTCCATTTTGCCTTTCAGTTCTAGCAAAACAGAAGATAGGAAGTAGGAAAAAAAAAAAAAAAAAAAAAAAAAAAAAAAAAAAAAAAAAGAAGAAAGATCAAGGGCACGACTGAAGAAGTCTCACTACATTTTAATATAAACTGTTTTGGGAAAGCTGCTGTCATTAGAGTAACAGCTGCTTAATATGTGAGTGAGGTTTCTTGAGCCTGACAGTATTTTATTTTAGAGCCCAAAATACTTGTGGAAAACATGCGTAAAACTAAAAGCACATTGACCCAGTCACAGCCACAGCACATCTGCTTTAGGAATGGATTCATTCAGCGGCACGATGGTAACTTGCCAAGACTGGAGCCAAAAAATTCCTCCTTCAAACTGCTGAAGGAAGCAGCAGCAGGCCAGATGTACGCTTCCGCCGCTTCCCTAACGTCCACTCTAGAATTAAAAGCTTCGAATATTGATTCCATTTCTACTTCACTCCAATTAAAAGATTGTCTAGAGACGGGGAAACCAACACTTCAGACAGTTGCTGTCAGGCCTTTGCCGAGAACTTTGGATGCAGCAAAGAATGGAAAAATCCCAGCTGGGATCTGTTTTTTCCCACTTTCTCTTTTATTTCCTAAGGTGCTCCCCTGTCCAGCACTTCCCCTTCTCACCCTTCCACTCACCCAGACACGCCACGCCGCTCGAAGCGGGATCAGCATCCATCGGTTCCGGGGAAAAGCCTGCTGTCAGTCCTGGCCCAAGCCAAGCTCCGGCAGCGTGAATCCCCTGAAGCTCCAGACAACAACCGCCCAACGCTTTCAGCCCGTACCTGCGAGCTGGGAAACTACTGCCCAGCTGAGCTGCGCTGTCCCCTCTGGGAACCTGCCCAGGGCGTGGGGCTCAGCAGGTACAGCCCGCTCTCGAGCTCACACTGTCCTCTGCCTGCTTGCTGCCTTCTGCAGGCTTTTTGGCCTGCCCTGGCGAGGTTTGCATCCAGTTTAACAAATGCTTTAAGGCTATTAATTATCGTGAGTGACAGCAGCCCGCACGGCAGCTCCAGGACTGTTTGCCATGAAGAATTTTGCCTGTTATTAGAAAAAAATCTGACCAACGGCAGCCTGAGCGCTCGCTGGAGTCACCACGGGTCTGCTCGCTGTGCATCGCAGCGCCCTGCTCACGGACAGACGCGCTCCAACACCGCACATAAGATGGGGGTTAGATTTAAACAAAATGCTGCTGGATTTCAGGTCAACATCGATACTTCAGCCCTACCCGGGGCAGGCGATGACTCCTTGCTTTGGTAGCTCTGCAAGGAAGCACCACCACGACCCAGCGCTGCAGAGAGGCAGGAGAGTGCCAAGGACCTGCCTCCGGCGGGGGGCGGGGAGGGGCAGATCACAAGGCAAGATGCCTGTATACTGAAATAAAGACAAATCCTGGGGCATCTGGAGATGCCAACAGGCCTGGGGTGTCCCCCCCATCCACGCAGAGACACAGGGACACCCCCTTCCCACCTGAGTGCCTGGAGGACAGCCCCAGGATCCAGACAGGCAAGGACATGGGGACATCCTGCCCCCCTACAAAGGGACATGCACAGGTGAGGACACAAGGACACTCTCTCCCTGTGGATCAGCTCAAGTGAGGAGGGTGTGCGTCCCCCAGGGCAGGGTCACAGGGACACCCCAGAACTCTACGCAGATTCCCAAAACGTACCCATCAAGGGCACAGGGAGCAGGCACACGAAGGCCAGCCTTAGCCTCGGGGACTGAGGTGGGAGCATGTCCCCCGGGAGGGGACGGGACACACCCAGCCCCTTCCTCACGCTGTGGCCCACCCAGGACACAGAGACACGGACCCCTGCCCTGGGAGGGCGAAGTATCGAGGGGGGGTTGTTAGGGACGTGCCGGGGATCCCCTTAAACGATACACACGCCGTGGGGACAACACCCTCGCATGGGACACACACACGCGGGGACACCTCGGCGGTGGCCGCCCCCTCCCCACCCAGCGGACACGCACACCCGGAACATCCCCCGCCACGGCCCCTGCGCTCACACCCGAGGCCGCACCGCCCGGCGACCCCCTCCGGGACACGCTGCCCTCCGCCCACCCCCAGCAACACCCTGAGGCGCGGGCACAGCGCCCGCTGCCCCTCACAGCAC